ACTTGTAAAGAGCTTCTGTATCTCAGAAAAATAGGCTATGGAGAGCAGAGTGAAGTGTCGTTGCCACCCGTGTTAGCATTGGTAGATAATACTGATGATTTTTTGTTCCGAGAATTGCGGTCACAAGTTGTGGAACAAGCCACTAAACTTCCTAGAACAGATTCACCTGTGTGTGTATTTCTTTACTGCAAGCCCACGCAAAAGCCACAGGATTGTTATCAAAAAGAAAAAGCCACGAGTGTTTTCCTCAAGCAGCACTTAAGCCCGAACGAAGTTAACTGGTTTAAGGACAAATACACGGAAATGAAACGAAAATCTAACAACGAAGATCCAGAGAAGGATTTTGAAAACTATGCAAGCGAAAATTTAATTTCGTTTATGATAATGAAAGAGAACTACAATCCAAGGTACGCCTCGAGTATTGTTGGGAGGAATTTGGATCTCGTGACACGTGACGAATTGACCTTGTTAGAATATGCATCGCTTCTCAACATATACAACCCCTACCCTGTGTTCGCCTCTTGCTTCGATACGTTAATGTTATCTTCAAGCCTTCTTCGAAAGAGAATCTTCAGAGATTGGGTCGAAAATCTCACTCATTCAGCTCGAATTTTCTTGCGAGAGGTGGACTGCAGTCCACAGTTTGGAACAGGAAAGGCCATCGCTATAGTTCATCCAATTATTGCTGGCGAGCTGGTCGACCAGATAGTGGCGAGAAAAGAAACGACTGTTAGTCGAATCATCCTGGACTTTTTGAAATCACCTCTGTTACAAAGTCAAGGAAAGTCGTTTACGTCAACTTACCTACTTGACGGAGCAAACAGAATGCTCAAGCAGCGCAAGAAATATGAATATGGAGATGACGTTCAAACAAAATTCTCACCGTTAATTGAAAAGATTTTGTACGTGAAAGATGCAGGTGACGGGTCGAAAGAACCCACGGAACAAAGCATACGTGAAGCTGCAGGTGTCCTTGGAGAAGGGCTGCATAAATTTGAAGACCCTATGCTCGCGCAGCAAATGGCTCGAGTTTTTTACATAAATGCCTCAGCGTTTGACACGTTAAGGATAGAAGAGTGCTTTAACGAGGCCTTCAAGTATTGTAATATGGCAATTCAAGAGAATTCCAATGATCGAATTAATGCTTCACTTTTTGATACCATGGGTCGCATTTTTGAGAGTAAAATCAAAATTTTGTTTGACCCGATCAGGAAAGAAAATCGTGGAATAGACATAAAGGCTGTCACGCCGATGCTTTCACTTGCTTTTGAGGCCATGATGTGGTTTCAAAAATCACATGAAGCCTCGGTGGATTATCAACATCCCTGTGGTTTTCGTGGTGAACTATCTGTGATGTTCTACATGCTAGATGTTCTTCACTGCACGGGTATTTTTAGGGGTAGGGAGGGCTTGGCAAGGTTACAAGGTTATCTAACTTATTGTCAAGTTATACCTCCTGAAGTTCAAGAACCCTGGAGCAAGTTCCATGAGTCTATTAAAGAGCTGAAAAACAGATTCACCCACTGTATGGAAGTACTTACAGAGGAGTTCACCATCTACAAGGGAAGTAGTGAAGACGCAAAACTACTTCTCAAGCAAATTGCTCGGATGAAAGCTCAATATCATTGTTACTTCGGCAATGGTGACGTGAAGTGGAACCTCGACAGTCGTGAGGAGCGTTGGGAGCATAGGTGGTATCAAATCGATCAGTATCTGGCTGGTGACATATTTTCGAGTGTATTCAAGATTCGTAGTACAGAATCTCGAAATGCTGCAACGGAAACAATTCTGCAGCTTAAAAAGCTAGCTTACGAAAATTATCAGGAATCCATCCACGTGGGACGTTATAAAGACTTACTACTCATCGTAACAACTAGTATGGCTCTCCACTCACCATTTGGAAATAGTTTAAGACACAATTCAGCTCAGACAGCGGAGGAGTATAGGGAAGTATTCAAGTTTGTGGACAAGTTATTTGCACTGGAGAAATGCGACGAGAGGTGCAAAAGAATTTATGCACATTTGTTTAAAGTTATGTTTCTTTGGCCACATAAAGATCAGTTAAGCATGTTGAGTGACTATCGTGTCGAAGATTTTTATGACGCTCTGAAAAAGCTCAGGAAGAGATGGGAAAGTAAGAGTAAAGAACACCTTGATACTGACGCTAAAATGCTTAAACAGAAAGTGTACAAGAACATGTCATTCAAGAAGGAGACTAAACAATACACCACACTCTTCTATTTGGGTAAAGGTACAGGACTAGATGCATTTGTCCATATTAATGAGCTTAGATGGTCTCGAACAGGAAAAGGATCTCCCGACTGGGAAGATCCAAAAACAAAACAGAGACTTAAACGCCTTACTGGGGTAGTGGAAAGTAAGAACATCATTACCATGAAGAATCCTCTGGATTCAAGAAAAACGATCGAAATTTATTATTCGTCATTTCGGGAAGGAGGGTTTTCTAAGGAGGAGGTGTCGTTCTTTTTAGGCTTCAGCTGGCCTCAACCTATCGCAATGGATGTAAAATATACTAATGCAGATAACGTCAAAAATGCCATGGAATTCGAAAGTCCAGTCTTTAGTAGTCCAGATAATCAAGTCCAGCTCGGTATACCCAGTATTTTGACTTACGAAGACTACACTAATAAGATGGGAAAGCTAACGAGAAAGCTAAGTGAAATCGAGTCGTTAAAAAAGAAGAAGGATAGAGGCGAAAAATTGGAAGAAACTCAGGTAACTTATATATAGTGACAATTTTAGCTGTTTGTGTTTGTTCTGATTTTAGCTGGATTGTTAGGAAGTCAAATTCTAGGTAGAATTGTTCTTGGTTGTGTTGTGGTCGCGCATTATAAAATAATCGTTAAGGGAGCTTCGAGGGAACGACTGGTGGTCTTGAAAGATGTTGTGTTAGCTTCCACAAGTAACTTTTGTTTTCTAAGACATTTTCGGTATATTTCAATAAGGGAAAGCGCTGGCACAAACAATTTCATGTGCGACCCTATTTGCGAAAAGGTCCCTGAACGAAGGAACTGAAATGCATTTCAGCGATTTTTCAACTTGTCAAAGGGAATTATTCATTCATTGAATATGACTCAGCGCATTCTCGACAGGTTGTCGACGCTGATATATCAAAACCTGTTATATTAATGTCTTCGTTAAATATTCAACCCATTGACATACTGTTTTTTGTATTTAACTGAACTAAGAGCTCTATTGTAAATGCTGTACCGGCATTACATTTAACCAACACAGAAGTAAATTTGGTAATCTAAATGGGTCTGTAGTTGCCTGAATCTAATCTTATGTGTATTATTTTCACAGGAAGCGAAAATAGGCAAAGAAGTAGAGATCAAGCGGAAGCTTCACGAATTGAAACAAAACTTCGATGCCCTGAGTGTCCTAGAGGAGGACTGATTTGACCAAGCCGTATGTGTCTGTGTGTCCGAGGTGGACGTACCAAACCAGATCGGATACTGTCAGTTCAAGAAAAAAGAACGAGGGTCGTTTTGTCAACATTCCGACATTTTGAGGGTTTGGGTATCGTCAGTCTTAAGTTTTCTCTTACTCCCAACCTTCTATACGCAGGGATCCTCAGTTTGGGTTCGTCATGCAATCTCTCACCAGGATGAAACGTAAAAAAACGTCCCTTCATACGAACCGGGCTGCAGCTTGCACTGTCTGTGTGGATCGTATCAGTTCCTCTATATTGGGCAGATACGGTACGGAGTAATAGAGAGATTTCCAAAGAGACTTCCTCTTTTTCTCGCGCCAGCTTTGCAGGCTAAAGGAAATAGATCACTTTTAAGCAAACAGTGACCAGTTCCTTTGTTCCGTTTAACAAATTGACGTCAGTTTTTCATGCGTCTTTCCTGTCAGTAATCATGAATTTCGTCATAACATTGTCAAAGTCACTGTGGATCCACGAGGCGATAGCCGAGTGGATCCGCAGAGTACTTGTCTCTGTCTCGCTCGTGGAAGTATTGTAAAAATTATAAATTCATGTGTCTGTCCACTTATTGACAATAAAAATTAGCCAGTGAGCGCGTGAGAATTTCTTCAGTTTTCGTAAAATTGATCGTTGATGAGCAAAATACGGAAATGTGAACTGATCACACATTAGTTACAGCTGTTGTCATTTACAACGGAGATACGAAATTCAAGTATCCAGCAAAGCTTAAGAATATCTGGCCTAAATAGTTTGTTAATAAGTCGTTGGAAGAACTGATGTGCATTGCTTCTCTAGTGTAGAAAACAGACGAACCTGTTAAACCTTTATTGGCCATCGGCACATTCACCTGTTCCCCGCTTAATGTCAACTGGACGGTTGGGGAAGGAGAGGGTAAGGCGAGTCCATTTTGGACTT